AACACATTTTCCACAATCACATTGCTATCCAACTTGCAGAACTACAACCACAACATCAATTTTTGGCATACTCCGGCAAAAGCAATTGCCTTCAGAAACCCACACAGTTGGCCTCACAATTATACCGAGCCATACGCACATGGCACCGACACTATGGACTGCCTTACAACCATCAAACTGCAAAGCAGTTTGTATCTGAACAAATACCACAACACAACACACACTGCAGCCAACACAACATACTACAGGTCAAGATGATCAAGCAAGTCCAACACAAAATACCATCGGGCATCATCCATTGCGAAGATCACTTCCCGAACCGACTCACGTGGTACTGCCCAACACTATATCACATTGCCATACACAACACTTTTTTAGACAAGGAGATCTTTCGGATCTCGCAGCACCAACCTCTACAACACCACTTTGATGTCTACACAGACATCCGCAGTCTTCTACCAGCTTACACATGGGCTTTTCCACAATGGGGACGCATCCCACGCGCCTACATTTTACCGAAAAGAAAGAAGCAATTCACGAAAGGCCGTCCTATAGTGGCGTTCATCGACACTATGGGCAGGAAATTGTGGGAAGCCTTAGCAGACGTACTGCAGCTGATGACCCTTCAAGCATGTCCAAACTCCTTTCACCAAGGAGACGGGATAACACAGCTCAAACAAACAGCGCTCTTCCTGCATCAGCGCAGGAAACTACACGATTCAACAGATTACATCCTGTACAATCAGGATTTGGCTGGCTTCTTTACATCCGTCGATCAGAGCCGGTTTCTGTCAGCGTACAGCATCATGGTTCGATGGTACAGAGAGAAGAACCCACTACACTCTTCCAAATTCTTCATTGACCACTCACAGAAAGACCCCACACATCGAGTCCACAGGGGCAAAAGCAGACAAAAGAAGCAAGAAGCCTCCTCCGGCAACAAACTTTGCATACAATTACAACACATACCACAACTCATCATTGCAGTGCTCCGACTCAACTATTTCACTGTCGGTACATCACTCATTGAGCAATTTCGCGGTGCACCTATGGGCTCGCCCTGCAGCCCAGCCCTATGCAACATCGTGGTTGCTGTCGAAGAACAGTGTTGGCACCACACATACAAACAACTTTTCACGAACCACAAGCATTTTCCAGACCACAACAAGCAGGATCAAGCTTTCTTTTTTGCTACCAGATACGTCGACAACCGCGTCCTTCTTTTACCTGCACAGCTGACCCGACTGCCTCCTTTTGCACAGCTCACTGACGCATCTTTTTACAAACCACCGGTTCAGCTTGAAACTGAACCGGCCAACATTTTCCTGGGTTTCGCCATAAACCCTCAGCACAGCAGTCTTACGCATCAATGCACTTTGCACAAGGCGGATATTTTACACCCACAGTCCGCCACCTCTGTAGCAACACTTCGCAGCAGTTTTCAGGCCCGCACACGCATGGTACGCAGAGTGACAACACCATGCAGCGAGGCCACATCAGCCATCCGAGCCATGCGCGATCTCTACATCGCTGCCGGCTATACTGATCAACAGCTGTAAGCAAAACACTGTGCCAAGTTGCCGTGCGTGTGTCCAGAGCCATGCAACTTTGCAACATGAGAGCCGCCTTGTATGAACACAGTGCTTCCCGCAGCCATTTACAGGGTTTAACTGAGGCATCATCATGTATAAAAGTGCCATGACTGGCAGATTGCAGCCGAGCCACAAAGCGCTGAGCGGCCGTCCTCGGCCATCCATCTCCAAGCATAGCAGACGCCGCAACGAGCAACCTGCGGTTGGCAGCCACAATCAACAGCCGGCGCTTTTGCGCTCTCAGTTCCTACGTGTTGCAGAAGACGAAGATTTCCAAGATTACCAAGAGCAACACCAAGATCCGGAAGAACAGCAGGACGCAGCAGTGGCTGCACCGGCGACCCCGCCATTTCCACCTCCGCATCATTCTGATCCGGATTCATCGACTGAGATTATGGCAGCAATAACGCAGTTTCACAATTCGTTGCTTGAATCGAATGCCAAACTCGAGCGCCTGATACAACAGGCTACAACGGTGTTGACCACTCAACACGAGGCTACCACGGCGATCCTCGCCTCGTGCAAACAGCAGCTCGACGTACTCGAAAGCCTCATCAGGCAAAACGCGCCTGACTGGTCGTGAATATGCTGCTAAGGCAAGCCGGTATAAAAAGTGCCAGGTAGTGCATACGTCTCGCATTTCAACACATGTTGCTTTCAGACACACACCATAACTTTGCCTTCTGAAGTTTTGCCTCAGAGTGACACCTATTGGAATCCCGACATCGAGCCATGAGCGAAGCATCTCTTCCGACAAACACAGCGACTACAGATTCGCCACCCGTCGATGAGGCACGACGTGAAGCTCTCTCCGCGGCCCTCATGGAGATTTTGACACAGCATCGGGACTATGAGTCTGAAACCGGAAGTGAACCTTCCACATTCAGTGACGAGGCTCTACGCGACCAATTAGCCGAGTTTATTCTGCAAACAACCCGGCAGATCACAGAGCTAAAGCAACGAGTGGAACGACTCGAAGCTTCGCAACAATAGGTGATCAACCATGTTCATACCACCATTGGGTGCTTTGCAGCGGACGGTGAAAACAACGACTGTTGTTTTTGCCAAGTGTGACAGTCAGTGCACTCACTTCACATGTGTTTGTATGCAGCGATTGATACACTCTTTCCCGCAGCATTTTGCAAAACAACCAGTTGTGTTAGCACCATGGAACAACGCACCAGATCGCGATCTCCCACGGCATCACAATGGAGATGGCACTGGGCCACTAACGGCTCTTCATGGTGGCGTGAGTACTTTATCGCATCTCAAGAGTGGATACGAAAGCATTCGGAGCAATCTGATCAGCGTCCGACATCAACGACTCCTACCCAAAAGGAGCCAGTTTCCACTACATCAACTCCTACATCCAACAAGAGAAAGCGGTCAAGAACTCCATGAGCAACATTGCTGAGTTGACAATTAGATGCACATTTGCTGCCTCCGGCAGTCAACAACCACACAGCAAAGCTGTGCTGCGAACTCCATCATTCCTGATGAGGTTCAACATTAAGAGCATCATGTTGAAAGTTCATGCCGGTCGGCGAGGTTGCTCAATTGATGTCTCTGCATACCTCTCTCTCTCTTCTGAAGATCAGCGTATGCACATGCCTCAATCCAGTTGTGACTCCGCAGCCATTTCTCAGAACTACAGTTGCTGAAACATATTTAGGATCGCACACAGATGGACGAGGACGACGACAGCAGCCTATGGGGGTCCGAAGAGATTGATGCCTTCCTGAGGAAGGATGACACCACCACATCCTCCCATGCAGTCAGCCACACACACAAGCAAAAAACAAAGCACACAACGAGGACAAAAACGAAGAAAGACAACAAAGACAAAAAGGACAAAACAGTCATGAAAACAAAGAAAACACGCAACACCTCACCACCATCCCAATCCACAACACAGCAACGACGCCAACATCCACATACTACAAGACGAAAGAGGACACGCTCTTCGCATTCAACATCATCAGCGTCACCTACGGCAACGTCACACATGGCTGAGGACGCACACCGGTCTCCATCTCGAGATCCTTGGTCTTCTGACTCGATTGCACCTTACGATATTGTGCATCCTACTATTCAGCACAAGCGGTCCAAAACCGCTTGTGCAAAAATGCTGGTACGTGCAGGTTTTAGGTGTCGATGCCATTTCAAGATCATGAGTGACTGTCCCAACAAACTCGCTGTTGGACCCTAATTCTCAGGACGGATTAGGGCTGCAAGATCCGCTAAACGTGACAAAAAGCCCGCGCATGCGAGTGTCAGGACGACACCACTTTGTTGTTTTGCCAGTGCACACATCATGTCCATGTTGATTTGCATTCCTTGTTCAAGCTTTTGTCGGTTGATAGCAGCACAAATATGACAAAGCGAAAGGCTGCCGAGGCCGGCCTTCCATGGTACTCCATGGCAGGACAATGTTTTCGGATGACTGTTGAAATTCCACCCGACCGCATCACCAGAGACAAGCACATGTTCTTACATGTGGTGCTTTGTTTGGGCGACAACGTTCTCCAAGCTCGCAAGATCTTCTCCTACCGCATCAAGGAGATTACTGGCAGAACTCCTAAAATCCCAGCTTTCTTCTTCGAACAAAACCGTCGACGACTACATGATTGGGATTCAGTCACCACATTAGCCACGTTGATGCCGGTGCTTTTTGTTAGAACCTGTTCGGATCAGGAAATACGACAATCACCCGACCGCTATTGACAGCGAGAAAAGTGCGCCATTCACTCCTATTGCCGCGCATTTGACCTTTCACTCTTCTTGAAGCATGTACGCCCCATTGGGGCTGTGTGTGTGTGAACCTCCCTAGCACATGGGAGCAAAGGGTCACTCCTACACTGTTTGCAATTTCGCTTTTCAACACAATCCGGCATTGGACATTTACTAAATCAACTGTTGCAGGGGGGCAGGACATCTTTAGCAGCGCCTGCCCAACGAAGAGGCTGCTAAGAGATGCTGATGCGACAGAGGACGCTCTGTTGTGTACCTGCAAAACACAGCTGAGGCCCCTGAGCCAGCAAGATTAGAAGGCCCCTGTGCCAAGATTAGAGAGTTTTCAGTTGCCACTTTTGGTGGTTGATTTGACAACAAACAAGTTGTACGGTTGCCACAATCTGACAAACTTTTGCAACATGAACAACATGCCTCTTTTTTTCCTCTTGCACTCGTACTCTTGGCCGAATCCATCAGTGTGTAGTGTAGAGCCCAAAGTCTCGCTTGTGCCTGTGAGCCCCTGCGAGCAAACGTAGAAGTGTGTGAGGGTTGTGAAAACATAGTCCTCGACCGCGGCGTCTCCGCGGCTTGTGTGCCCGCTACTGGCGGCCAGAACTTGAGTCTCGTTTACAACCGCTGCTGTGTGGCGGCGAGTGTGGAGTAAAGTCTCTCGAGATGAGTGCCCCACCAGATGGAACTCCAGCTCCCCCGCATCCTGGTGATGTGGGAGGACAAAGCCCAGGTGGAGCTGCTTCACCACAGGGAGCGGGCCAGCAAGTGCCACAAGGTCCTTTGGATCAGAATGTTGTGTTGGCAAGGCTCTCTGAAGCCTTAGCTCAGCTAGCTGTTGCTAGCACGGCTCAAGCTTCAGCAGCTTCGGGTGGTCAGCCAGAATGGCGCGAAACCAAGTATGTGAAAGCACCGGAAGTGTTCAATCCAAAGTCTGTTGAAGAGGAGATTGCAGCATGGCCCGAATGGGCCTTTGCCTTCAAGAATTTCATGGCAGTCCAGGACGACGGTTACCGGTCTGATTTTGCCAAAGCGGAGAGTGCCACAGAATTTCCAGCTTTCGAAGACTATGGCCCAGCACTCAAAGCACGATCGCTCAAATTGTCTTCGATTTTGGCATCATACCTCAAAGGGCGAGCTTTAAAGATCCTTCTTTCGAGTTTGGCGTCAGCTTAAGGAAGAGTTACAGCCCACTTCGCGGCCTCGTGTGCTGGCTCTTGCCCAAGCTCTCACTAGGTTTCCTCCTTTGAAGAAGGAGGGGGCCTCTGTCCTTGAGTATACGCTGGCTTACGAACGGCTCATCACCGAGTACGAGAAACTATCTCCTTCTACTTACCCAGAAGACCTCAAGATCTCCACTCTTATGTCAGGGTTGCCGAAGGACATCAAGAGGTATTTACAGCTACAAATCGACGATACCACTACGTATCATGGTCTTCGTAATACTCTTCTTCAATTTGAACGTACGGCGGCTAAGGAAATGGGCCGGCGCCCATGGACGTGGATCGCGTCGCCGAGAAGGGCGAGAAGGGCAAGGGAGCTTGGAAGGCCAAGAGCGCTAAGAGTGAGTTCGGGAAGGGCAAATGAAGGGCAAGTCGGCAATTGGCTATGGTGGTCACAAAAGTTTTGATGCTTCCAAGGGGTACAAGGGCTACGGCTACGCCAAGGGCAAGGCTTTTGGTGCAAAGGGAAAGGACAAAGGCAAGAAAGAAGTCGAGCGGGAAGAGCTACAGTGGAGCAGGTGGTAAAGGTAAAGGTCCTTGCTTTATTTGTGATCGCATGGGTCATCGAGCTGCAGAGTGTCCTATTGCGAGCGCGTGTTCAACAAGTAGTTGCAAATGATGACAACATGTCGGTGAGTACCCGTGCGATCTCTGCCCCTACTACCACTACGCAGTCTACCTCGACTATAGTTCCCGAACTCCCCAGCCATCTCAGGTTCGTCGTCTGGAGCTCATCAACAACGCGGTGCTCGAGGAGATCTTCGATGAAGATGAGGCCGGTGAGGTTGGCGAGCAACTCTGGGAGAGCCACGTTCATGATTTGTCGTGGGATGCTGAAGAAGTTTGGGATGCTGAAGAATTTTGGGGTGAAGACTGGTATGAAGCAGAGGGTTTGAGTGACTACGTCCGGATGGTTGCTGAGATCGTGGAGCCTGCAGAGCATGACATGTTAGCTGACAGTCAGTCGGAGTGCGGTAGCAGTTGTTCGTTGCCTTCCACTTCCATTCTGCATTTCTCGCTGTGCTCGGAAGATGATTGTGATGCAGAGTGTGACGTAGAGAGTGGGAGTGAGAGTTCGTGGACGGTGTTACAGCAAGCGCGTGAAGCTGAAGAAGCCGAGCTATGTGTTCGGGCGATGGCAGAGGGCCATGAAGTGATCCTCGACTCAGGTGCTGATGTGACGGTGTTGCCGATGCACATCTTCGGCGAAGTTGGCTGCGAGAGCAAGGCGAACCTCGCCTTGGTGGATGCACAAGGCTCGCGCATCCCGCAAGCCGCGGTTCGAGAGGGAGTCACTTTTGTGGTTGAGGGTTGCGACGGCCAAGAGATTGTGTTCCGGGATAAAGCAGTGCTGGCACGAGTCAAGCAACCACTCTTGTGTGCGGGAAAGATGGATGGTTGCCCAATCCTGAAGCCGAGCAGCTAGTGATGAAGAAAGGCTCTCAAGCCTTTCCGGTGCATTGGGCCTGGAATTGTTTGGCTGCTACAATGAAAATATTCAGGACGGAAGAAAGAAGCACAGGTAAGAGTGGTCGTTGAGCTGGGTGAGTCTTTCCTGGCTACTTTGAAGCGCCAGGGCTGGCAATTGAATGAAGACGGCCAGTCAACCCATGTGAGCGAGAGTGCCAGGACTACTGTTGATCCCAGTGGTTTGTATGATCCAGACGTTTTGCCGCATCGTACCACTAGTGCAGAAGAGCGGTCGCAGATATTCCATATTTGAGTGTGGTGATTGTTGGGAGCCAGAGCCTGTGAAAGTGGTTCGCGAGATTGGTATGATCACTCTGACCGAGGAGGGCATGGAAACGTTCAAAGGAGAAACCCTTGCAGTGTTTGCAAGTCGGCTGAAGGTGAAGATTGATGGGCGGGTTGATGTGAACGGGGGGACCTCGTTGAATCCAGCGAAAAGGGCCTCGTCATCAGAGAGGTTGGTAGGCCAACAAGTCCCAGAGCGGTGAACGTTTGGATGCTGAGATGCATGCTCTCTACCGCAAGTGCAAGAGGTTTGCTCTTGTACATGAGTAGTGAACGCCCAAACTTGCAGTATGGAGTGAAGGTCCTTTCGTCTCGGTGCAGTGATCCCACACAAATCGATTTCAACTTGCTATGTGAAGTTGCACCCTGTAGTTCCAGTGAAGATGGAGCGACGCCGTCCGAGATTGGCGTCAGCGTTGCCCCCAGTTCGTTGCACGCTGATCGCGTGCCCGACTGTAGCACGGCATGTGCAAATTCGGCTAAAGTCTCCTGCCTGAAATCGCTGTCAGCAGCTATCTCGCCCAAGGTTTTGGCGAGTTTATGTGCTTCCTCCATGTCGACAGCGTGGGGGGTCGGCTTTTCATGATCGTAAAGCTCAGAGAAAGGCGTCACATCAATCTGTGGTGGTCTGCTCTGTTTGCCCAGTTGTTCGAGGGTTGGTTGACCCGATGGGGCAGCAGTTGTGGATGCATCAAAAGTCGGGGCAGGTGTCCGAATAGAGCTGGGGGGATTGTGCTGAAACTGTTGGCGAGAGGATGTGCCCTGGCCTGTTGGGGGCTGCTGTTGTGCTGCTTGGTTGCCCTTGATGCGAAGGGCGATTCGCTGAACCTGCGAGGCCAATGTCCTTTGTGGGACCTTGGGTGGGGTAGGTGGCCTCTGACGTGGCTGTGTGGCTCTGTAATGCCACTTGTTGGCATCATCATCACGCACTGTAGAATAGCTGCGGAGCACAACCGAGGTCCGGGGAGGTGTCGGTGAAGATCGCCTGGTGTCCCTGCGAGAGCGGCTTCTGCGAGTGTCGCGGGATCGGTGGTGTCTGCGTCGGCGGTGCTGTCTGCCGCTGCTTGCAGGTCGTGCTCTGCTGCGTGTGTGTCGTCGGCGTCTAGTGCTCACGGTGCGAGTTCTGCTGCGTGTGGGTGAGCGCCGTCGCCTGCGTGGTAACGGAGGGTGGTGGGGAGAAGTACGTGCTGCGAACTGGTCAGTGTCTGCCGATCCCGTAGCCGGGGGTGGTTGTGTGGGTGGCACTGTGCTGGCGGAAGGGGTGTTGGCTGTGTTTGTTGGTTGTTGTTGGGGAGTCATTGCCGGTGTCTGCGGGGCAGTGTGTACAGCATCGGTAGTGGGAACACTGATGGGGTGAAGTTGTGGAGCTTGTTGGATTGTTGTTGGCGGCGGTATGTGGGGTTGTTGAGTGGGTTGTGTGGACGGGATGTTGCAAGGTGCAGGTTGGGGTTGTGGAGCAGGTGGTGTAAAAGGAAGGTTGTATGTGGTAGGCTGGGGCTGATGCGGTGTCAGAGTAGATGGGCTCGTGGGAAAAACTGTTGGATGGGTAGGCAAAAGAGCAGGGTTCAAGAACGGGGGGGGGTTTTGTGACATGAATTGCTGGGGTGGAGGTTGTTGTGGCATCTGGGGTTGTGGTGTGCTGAGATGTGTATAGACCGTCGGATGCTGTGGAATAGGGGCAGTGTGTCCACACGGCATCATGGGGAAGCCGTGCGTCTGCTCGACAGGAATCGTAGTGGGTTGTGTCGGCAGTGTGGGCTGCTGAGTGGCAGCAATGCCAGTTGGCATCATTGCTGGGTAGCTTTGTGACTGCGGTACCCAGGTGTTCGGGTGAAATTGATTAAGCACCGGTCGGGCTGTTGGTGCATATGGTGTTGCTGGTGGCTGCGCGGCAAAATAATCCGGCCACATAGCTGCAACGAAGTGGGTGAAACAAACACAGTTGCACAAGCAAAGTGCAGGCTGTCCTGATTGTCCCTGCTGGACTGATTTGAGAGGTCGTAGACGGAGAGAAGGAAGAGGGCCGAGTACTCTCCGAAGAGAGCGCTGTTTCACTTGCTGTAGACACCGTTACCACGTCTGCACTCATGTCAGATGCACATGCCCTTGTAGTCCCTGAGGAATAAAGAAGCGGTAAAATACGGGGCAGACGAGAGAGGTAGCACCTGCTCACTAGACGCACTTTACTGCATTAGCCGTCCCCTTACTGCACCTGCACTCATGTCAGACTCACATGCGAGCATCAGAGAGAGAGAGATAAAGTAGCATCTGGAGATTCTGAACGATCTGAACGAAGGCTGAACACCCGGTTCATCACCGGTCTCCCCGGAGGGTCACCACGGCGCCATGACGGAAAGCCGTTGCTCTGGAGTCTCATCGACCCACGCTGATCACACTGATGGATTCGGCCAAGAGTACGAGTGCAAGAGGAAAAAGAGAGGCATGTTGTTCATGTTGCAAAAGTTTGTCAGATTGTGGCAACCGTACAACTTGTTTGTTGTCAAATCAACCACCAAAAGTGGCAACTGAAAACTCTCTAATCTTGGCACAGGGGCCTTCTAATCTTGCTGGCTCAGGGGCCTCAGCTGTGTTTTGCAGGTACACAACAGAGCGTCCTCTGTCGCATCAGCATCTCTTAGCAGCCTCTTCGTTGGGCAGGCACTGCTAAAGATGTCCTGCCCCCCTGCAACAGTTGATTTAGTAAATGTCCAATGCCGGATTGTGTTGAAAAGCGAAATTGCAAACAGTGTAGGAGTGACCCTCTGCTCCCATGTGCTAGGGAGGTTCTCACACACACACACACACACACACACACACACACACACACACACACACACACACCACAGACACACACACACAGACACACACACACAGACACACAGACACACACACACACACACAGACACACACACACACACACACACACACACACCACACACACACACACACACACACACACACACACACACACACACACACCACACACACACACACACACACACACACACACACACACACACACACACACACACACACACACACACCACACACCACACACACACACCACACACACACATACACACACACACACACACACACACACACACACACACACACACACACACACACACACACACACACACACACACACACACACACACACACACACCCACACACACACACACACACACACACACACACACACACACACACACACCACACACACACACCCACACCCCACACACACACACACACACACACACACACACACACACACACACACACACACACACACACACACAACACACACCACACACACACACACACACACACACACACACACACACACACACACACACACACACACACACACACACACACACACACACACACACACACACACACACACACACACACACACACACACACACACACACACACACACACACACACACACACACACACTGATGGATTCGGCCAAGAGTACGAGTGCAAGAGGAAAAAGAGAGACATGTTGTTCATGTTGTAAAAGTTTGTCAGATTGTGGCAACCGTACAACTTGTTTGTATAATCTGGACACCACAGGGGGCCTGTCCTCACACTAATCTT